GCTGAAAAATTGTCTCCAGGCGTGGCTCAACCTCCCGAACATGAATATCGCATCCACTTGGCCCGAAATTGCCTGGCTCTTGCATTACAGACCGCAGTTCTGTGTCACTATTTGGGCTCCGATGCGTGTAGCGCCGACCAGGGCACATCGTTGTTGGGGAATCCCCAACAGGGGGTCGTATTTTGGCTGAAAAAACCCTCAAAGAAAGGGGGGTCGTCCGGACTCGACTAAAATCCCCAATCAGTGATGTGCTCTGGCGCCGACTCTATAAGGTTTGGTGCCAAGAGATGTTAAGTTAGTAGCGGAAACAAAGCGAGAGAAGCGGACACCTTTTCTGACTGCCTGCGACAGTCATCCTTCCCTTTGCTCAAGCTCCGCCTTTGCAAAGCAAGGGATCTTCTCGAGGAAAGGATGCAAACTACTAGAAGTAGAGCGCGTTGTCATCTGTACCCCCACTCTTTTCTCTGACTTTAACTCCCTTGGCACCTTATGCTGACGTGATGCTCGTATTCAGGGGTCAAACTATCCGTGAGGACAATTATTCACCAAATGTGGCAATTTAGGGCATTTTGGCACTGGCTCCTATGGCGCGACCATGAAGGGGTTTTGGGCCAAGCGCATATAATATACGTGTCCAGTGGGAAAAACTATCCCTGAGACAAATTTTGAGCCGAATCAGCTCTCGGAGAGAAAATTCTGAAAACTGACCGTCGAAAGATTGGGACAGTCAAAAGTGAATGGTAATGCTGCGCTTTTTATTGTTACGTGCACTCTTCATACCTAGAGCAGTAGTTCCCTTCTTCCGTGATAGTTGTCGATGATGTGACGCGTTTAGTAAACAAGCATCACGCGTCTGCTAGAGATGGTTTTTAAGTATAATGAATGATCGTTCGAAACACATGTTCCTATAAATAAACGTCGGTGGGCCGCGAATGTGCCCATGCACCTGTCGAAAGTGCACGTATCATGAATCCAGGTGTTATCTGACGATTTGTCAGAGCTTAAATTCGAAGATAATCTCTGAATAAAAAGAATTCTCGAATTCAGGCTCTGAATGCTGCTCTCCGCACTGGTGCTGCCGTGGAATCACAAAAGAAAACGCTGGCTGGAGGAAATCGTCAGCACACAAGCAACAAAAACACTCTTAGGTGTGACTTCGAATTTTCTTGTGTAGGGTTACCAAATGTATGTGATACTGGGAATGGAATGGAATTGAGCAAGGGATCAATGGATGGGAAAATGGAGGTACACCTAAAGTGGGTGGGACCTGCGCCGAGGTGGGCGGGAACAAATTCAAAAGTTAATTTTTTCTGTCCTATAATAGCAGCGTGGAGCTGGGAACAAGGTGGGTCTAGAGGCAGTGGGTAGGACAGTCTGTGTGCGAGGACAATTTAGAATGGGCGGGGCGTGGACGCTGGGTGACGGAGTCAGACTTGAAACTTCGTGTCTCCGTCCATAACGGCTTGGAGCAGCTTGTTGTCAAACAAAAATTCGGTGGGAGACGCCGACACCTTCAGTCACTCAGATGCTTCAGTGGGGGCAAGAAAAACGAGAACTGAATCTTCTTGTTCTACTTGCTGTTTGTGTTCACGTTGCATAGAAATCGAATAGAAATCTTGCAACTTAGGCGTCTTGGGCTTTTGTGTGGTGATGTGAACAAATAGTGGAGTAGATAAGGTTTCTGGTCTACACCAAGCTAATATCGCATATTCAGACTTGATGAGGAAACGGAAGAGCTTCACCACGATCGTGTTCCTCTGGCGCTAGGAAAAGCGATGCAGCAAGCTCGTCAAGCGAAAGAGTGGACCCAGAAAGATTTGTCAACCGTAAGTTGCCTAAGCATGATGCCCAAAGCAATGTGGTCACTGTTCTCTTTTTAGGCAATAAACGAAAAGCCGCAAGTTGTAGCCGAATACGAAAATGGAAAAGCTGTCCCGAATCAGCAGATCCTCCAGAAAATGGAACGCGCTCTGGGGGTAAGTTCATTACGCCTCCATTGGCTGTTACAGCCCTTATTCGTTTTGCGTAGAGTGTCTGATGCAGTGGTTCTATGAAGGCAACTAGGGTTCGATGATTTTCAACGAGGGGAGGTGTGGGTTCAAATTCACCCTTTCACTATACAGTCTCCGTTTTCCACCCCAAAATGGGAAGTAATGGGAGGTTGTTGAATGGAGTTAATTTTCTGAGTCGAGGGAGTCGTATCACTTCAAGCAGCAGTAGAGGGTGTGGGCGGGGTAGAGCATTGTTGAAAGAATCTTACAGGGAGTCTTATTTAAAAATGATGGCTGAAAAAAACTTTCTGTGCCGCGAGGAAACTTTTCCGGTTGTTGGCTTTTGACGATCTCAGAACACCGCCATTTCACTCATCCCGATGTTGTGCCTGGGTGAGTAGTCGTGCCGATTGGGCTATTTCCCTGATCGTCACCACGTTCCCTTTCTGGAACGATTACTGACGTGTTCATCAGAGGCGCTCACAAGTCACTGCATAGGCGGAGTCGCATTCACTGAAGTTTTGATATTGAATGAAAGTGGACTGCATGGCGCATCCTAGAGCGCGCTGGCCAACGCTGAGACCTTTTTTCAAAGTGCATTACAACGTGTAGTTCGAACTGGTTTTAAGTT